CACACTTCTCCGGGTTGAGCCGCAAGTCCACCTGGCGGAGGCTTTCAAAGGTGTCCTCCACATCTTGGATCAAGGTCCTCGCCTCCCGAGACTTCACCATGATGTCGTTGATGTAGGCTTCAGCGTTCCTTCCGAGCTGCCGACCCAAGGCGATGTGCATGAACCGCTGGAAGGTTGCGCCTACATTGCGCAGTCCGAAAGGCATGCAAGTGTAGAAGTATACCGCACACAGGGTTAGGAAGGCTGTCTTCTCCACATCTTCTACCGCCATCTTAATTTGGTGATATCCTGAGAACGCATCCAGGAAGCATAGCAAGTCGCACTCGGCAGTGGAGTCGATGATCTGGTCGATGCGTGGAAGCGGGAACGGATCTTGGGAGTAGGCCTTGTTGAGGTTGGTGAAGTCGAAGCAGATCCGCTCCTTCCCGCCTTTCTTGGGGACGACGACGGGGTTTGCCGGCCACTCGGGGTATCTAACCTTGCGAATGACACCCGCAGCCTCCAGCTTGCGGGTTTCTTGGACGATGAAAGCTTGCTTCTCCATGGACTGCCGCCTCGCCTTTTGCTTCATGGGGCGTACGTAGGGGCACACCTTTAGGTGGTGCTCTATCACCTCTCTTGGGACCCCCACCAGCTGATCGGGCTCCCAAGCGAACACTTCCTTGTTTGCGCGTAAGAACTTCACCAACGCCTCCTCCTAACTAGGCTCGAGGTTGGCGCCTATGGTAAAGGTTACCCCTGAGGACCCGTCCTCCTCGACTGGCACTCGCTTGGTTTCTGCCTTGTCCTGAGTGAAAAACTACTTCTTCTTGGTTGGTGCGGCTCCCTTGGCCTTGGAGGCATCCGAGTCGGAGGGCTGCGTTGTTGCGACGGTCTTGAGGGCGAGCTTGAGCGTCATCAAGGCTTCCTTGGCATCCCCCTTGATGGTGAGGACACCCTCGCTCCCTGGCATCTTCATGAGGTTGTAATCCGGATGGTTTGCTGCCATGAACTGGGCCAGAGCCGGGTACCCGAGGATGGCGTTGTACGGGAGGCCGATGTGGGCGATGTCGAAGTCGATGAGCTCGGTGCGGTAGCTGTCGCGCGTGCCGAAGGTCACGGGGAGGCGGATCTGCCCCAGGGAGCGGGCGGAGCCTCCACCAACCCCTGAGAAAGGCTTGCTGGGGCGGAGCCGCTCGAGCAGTACACGAAGAAGGCTGAAGGCCTCGACGGAGAGCACGTTGAGGCCGGCGCCGCCGTCGACGAGTGTCTTGGTGATGGACACGTGGTAGATGGTGGGCGTGCAAAGCATTGGGAGCGCACCCGAGCCGACGGTGGAGGCAGAATGATCCCCTGGGTTGAAGGTGAGGTCGGCCTCGGGCTCGGCCCAGCCTGGTGGAGCCCCCGGGCGCTTGGAAGCGGCGTCGATCTGGCGAAAGAACGGCTTGACGTGACGATCTGAGGGTGGTGCTTGTGAGCCGTCGAGGAGGGCTACAACCGCCTGGTACACTGGTGCCGCGTAGCGCGCAACGAAGAGGCCGCGCAAGTCCTCCCAGGACGCCACCGTGGATCCGGGGAGGTTGAGCAGCCAGGCGCGTGGTGCACCAGTGAGGGCCATGGGAAGCCAGTTGGCCATGACCTTGTCGTCGCCCCCGGCCTTAAGGATGGCCTCCTCATACGCCAGCAGGAAAGCCAATGGGTCCTCCGCGTCGTCGTACCACGGCGGCACCTCCGGCTTGAACTTGGGTGGACACTTCACCCGCCACAGGGTGGGAGCAAGGGTTCGGAGCCCCCGAGCGTTGCTGTGGGCACCCGTAGATCCAGCCGGAAGGGCACCTGCCATGGGGAACGGGCGTGACGATGGTGGAGCGTAGATTGATGGAAGAAAAACTCCGGCGCACCCCCTACCTGGCGCGCCAAATGTCGGATCACGGGTTCCGGCAAAACCCTCAAGGTTCGAACACTAGGGTGCGCGCGAAGATCTCCCCCTGTCGATCCACGTCCTAGCTTTGCTAAGATCTTACGGGCTAACTCGACGAACTCGTAACACAAAGGACACAAGATTTATACTGGTTCGGGCCACCATTGTGGTGTAATACCCTACTCCATTGTGATGGTGGTGGATTGCCTCTTGGGTTGAGGATGAACAGAACAAGGGGAAGAACAGCCTCCTGAGGAGAGGTGTTCTTGTGCTAGGCGAAGTTGTGGTTACTCTGCTCTCTCTCTCTCTCTCGATCCGATTGATCTATCCCCCTAGCTATGGTGGTGGCTAGTCCTATTTATAGAGGCCCTGGTCCTCTCCCCAAATATTGAGCGGGAAGGGAGCCAACAACGGCCAATTTGTAAGGGGACAACTAGTACATCTTATCCTGACAAAAGTGGTCTTTGCCTGCCAAAGGCTCTGGTGGTGACGCCGTCTTGGGCTCCACGGTGACCTCCGTCTTGCCGTCCTTCTGGTCTTGGTCTCGTTGCACTGATATGGAAACCTTTACTTGACACCTCGGTACCCCGCGCCTGCGCCTGCTTCCTTAGCACCAAAGAGGAAACAAGGACACTGTGCGCTGGCGCCCGCCTGGCCTTGGTCGTCATGGCTCACGTCATGGGACCCTCGCGAGGTTTGCCTGGCCTTGATCTCTCCGCCCCTCGCGAGCCAACCTAGTGAGGCCACTCCTGAGGAGGTCTCGTGTCGTCCGCCTCGCGAGGCTTGGCCCCTCGCGAGGGTCTTGAGTCATTGCTGCTGAAGATGGGCCGTACGGGCCCGCTCGCGGAGCCACGCCGTGGGCTGCATGCAGGCAAGTCTAGGGACCCCCGTTCTCAGAACGCCGACAGTCTTGTGCATCACATGATTCTCCTAATGATGTGATCTTGTTCATCAAATGACAACACATGTCTATGGTCAGGAAACTTAACCATCTTTGATTAACGAGCTAGTCAAGTAGAGGTATACTAGGGACACTCTGTTTTGTCTATGTATTCACACATGTACCAAGTTTCCGGTTAATACAATTCTAGCATGAATAATAAACATTTATCATGATACAAGGAAATATAAATAACAACTTTATTATTACCTCTAGGGCATATTTCCTTCACAGTGATGCTTAGCCGGTCATCCAACATTGTCCCCTAAAATTTTCTTGTTCTTTTTTAAGTCCGCGTACTAGTTGTGCTCGTGTATGTACTCCATGTTTGAATCCATTGCTTCAAAGAAGGGACAAAATTCTTTCAGCACAGACATTTCACCAAACACTTGTCGGGTGTGCTGACCCCGTAGGGGCGGATGGTACCTTCGTGGCGGACGAACGAGAGGCCTGGACCGGTGGTGGGAGACAAGTGGCATGGAGGCCAGGTGTAGCAGTCGAGGTCACGAAGTTCCGAGAAGGGCTTGGCAAGCGGCGGGGGTCGAAGAGTGGCGGCCTCGACGAGAGAGAAAGCAGATGTAGAAAAAGAGAAAATGACAGAGACACGGGGTTCGGGCGGGGCTTTTGATGGGCCGAGGGTGTTAGAGTCCTACGTGGCCGGCGTCAGGATTCCCGCAATGCCCCCTGGTTTGCGGGAAAGCAGACGACCGGACTGGTCTGCGGATCGATGCGGGATGGCGTTGGATGAAAATTGCATACAAACAGCTCGGTCCAGACACTTGCGGGGGTTTGAAAGTCCCGCCTTAAGAGCATCTAGAGCCAGGCGCCTCAAACATGTCTCAAACGCCCGGACGGCCCGCCCGGTCACTGATCGGTCACGTTTTTCTAACCCGGCCGGGTGCCTCAAATGACACTCAAACGCCCGGCTGTCTAGCACCCCTCATATCCAGCCCAAATATGGGGTAGATATGGGGGCGCCCGGACATGCCCGCCACGTCGATTCGATCCACTCCGACGACTCCGGTGACTACGGCGAGCATTTCGAGCGCTGGCAGCCGCTCCTCCTCCGACTTCGATGATGACCTAGCTCTCCGCATTGCCCTCGAGGGGTCCAAGATGGACACGGGTGGCAATTCCGGATCGGACACACCTCTCCCCTGCCACCGCAGCGAGGAAGTCGGCGCTGGCTCCTCCCGGCTACGCTTGGCTCCATGCGGGCTGCACAATCTGCGCGTCCCCCACGCCGTCCCTTGGCCCCGCCGCCTGCTGCTTCCCCACGCGGGCGGCGTTGGGTGCTTGTGCCCGCCCCGCCAGCCCGGACACGCACGCCGGAGTCAGAGGCGCGCGTCGCCCGTCGCAAGAGGCAACGGACAAGGGAGAGGGACACGACGGAGAGCTTTGTCCGCCGCTGCGGGTTACCCGCGGAGTCCGACGAGGACGAGCAGCTCCTCGCGTGGGTCTAGCGCCAGCAGGATCGGGCCGTCCGACACCTCAAGGGCCTCGTCTCCTCCTCCTCCTCCTCCGACAACGACGGCTCCTCGTCTGACGACTAGAACGATCCTCCACCAGCCGTCGACGGCTACAGCTGCGCCGGCAACTGGAAGGGGAAGGGGTCGGCCCGGAAGTGGTGAAGATCCGCTTTTCTTCAATTTAATTTCAAGTTTTAGATGTTGAAAGTATTGTGCTTGCATGTGTTTGTTTGCTGATCTACATAGTTTGATCGATGTTGCATGGTTTAATATAAATATAGGAGGTCGGATATGAGATACACAGATATGAACAACACTATTTGCGAAGTGTTGGATCAGTGCCCGCGGACGCATCCGGATGCATCCGCGGGTGTTTGATGAGTCATATTTGTCCTCTGCAGGTGTAGATGCTCTAAGCTCTCAATAGAGGGCTCTGATTGATTTAGGTTGTGGGCAGCAGGTGGAATCAAACTGTCAGCCGACTTGCCCCACCTGCCAGTTACACGTGATTTTTCTCCTGATTTCTCGTGTATGCATTGTAGTATCGAACAATTGTTGCTGCTGTGGCGGACCACAACTCCGCGTGGACCAATTAGAGTAGGGCACCTGCTCGGATCAGCTGCCGCCGAGTGCATAGAGGCGTTTCTCCAAGCACAAGGCATCTTATCTTCATCCCGTTCAGCAGGGCAGGATGCTACGGCCAGCGGCTGCCGCCGTTTATCCGTCATCCTACCACGCCCCACCGCCGCGATTCCCAGCATTTCCGTCCGGACGACGCTCGGCCGCCATAGCCGTCCGGTGCGTGAACCGCGACGCGCCCGATACCTCGAAGGCGAAGCTGAAGGTCGGCTCGCCGATCGTCATCACCGAGGAACCGCCCATGCTCAAGACCGCCGCGTCGGTGCCGTCGCTCCGGCAGAACGCCGGCCGCGTCAAGCCCGGCGACGTCGGGAGGTACCTCCTATACTCTACAAGCACTGGAAAGTAGCATGTGCGTTGTCTCTTATGCCTGACATCCCCGCGGCGTTGCGCAGGATAATGGCGCGGAAGCCGAAGGACGTCTGGGCCGTGCGGCTCGCCGTCGGCACGTACCTGCTGGACGGGAAGCACTTCAAGCCCCTGGAGGTCGTCGAGGACGAAGGCGGCGACGATCAACCCCAGGATGAATGAGCATCAGATCCAGCAACAATCAGCAAAACATTCTTACATGTTAGTATGGTACACAAACTGCAATGAATGGATTCAGGAACCAGGATGCCCATTTCGGTTTTCCCGATAAAATAGTTGGAGCACGCCAAACACAAACGAATAGGGGCTTTGCCTGGTTGAACATAGTTACAGCCATAGAAGAGTGTGAATCGGTCACAGAACTATACAGATTGCAGACACAGAAAAATAGTATCGTTAGGCCGTGGAGATCTTGGGTGTCTGGTCGTGCTCAAGAGTTACTTCTTCCATGGCTGTTTAATCCCGATCACGGTGCAAACCGATATCAGCAGAAGGATCAGGAGAATGATGATGGCGTAGCACATCCATTGTCAGGTCGATCTTGGGTGGGTGCCTTCTGGAGAGCATCCACACCTTGCTGTATGTGGTCGGCAGCATGTGAAACCTTGGAAAAACATGGTGCGAACATTTCGTTAGCTTGCTTTATAAAATCGGTTAGGTCTATTTAGATCAAGCAGTTTCCAGAAGTTGTCTTACATGTGTCTCTATGTGGTTGATCATTTCTCCTTGAGACTCAACCAATACTAACATACCCAGGAATATCTACAGGGCAAAACCCAGGAAATGGGGTACATTAAGAGTTTAAGGGGCCCTGCCATTCACATATGCATGGTGTAAACTACTCCCTCCGTCCCATAATATAAGAGCGTTTGAGCGTTTTTGAAACGCTCTTATATTATGGGACGCAGGGAATATAACATTGCATAAGAGCTTATGCAAATGAAAGGTAGCCTGTTGCAACTCCAGAAGCTTCCTCTCAAGATCTCTTACAGCATCATGCCGCTCCTATATCTCAGCAGCAGTATCCAATATCTGGAAGATGGAAGATTATCCTGGTGAGATTTTGATGCATTTCCCAACAAGTGTCCAAATAATGACCAAGTTATAACGCACATACCTGGCCTCTCCCCTGCTGTTGAACCGCATCTTTGAAAATTTGCTCGCCTCGCCCTGTCTTGATTAAATCGTTAATTGTCTGCATGTTCCAAAGTAACAAAGGAGGCACACTGTAAGATAAACAATAAAAGAAAAAAATGGCAAATCAAAGCACAAATTTAACCATAGAAAAGACAAGTTGCAACTATACCTCTTCATCAGGGCGATTACCGGTTACAGTAAATACCCTTCTTTCAACAACTTCCCAGTAATCCTGCCGGATTGATTCTCTGAATACCTGCATCAGAGGGTAACAGCACCATATCACTCACATAGTTGCAAGATAGCATTATATACTCTATCTTCAGAGTTTATAGCATGTTATCAATCTACCATAATGGCCAAGAAACATTCTTGTAAAGTTAATGAAAGTCAAAAGGAGGACATTTGCAAAACATAGTTCAGTGGTATCTTTCTTTTACTTTTTATAACATAGAAGCATCAATGAAGCCACTTCCACTGCTTAAGAAGAGCTAGATGTTCAGAATTCATATAGTCGGTCTGGATGGCTCATAGACATGGGAAAGCAGAGTGGTTCCTCCCTGCTGCTCTATGAGGGCACATCAAATAGCTCAAGTAGTAAATAGAAATATGGACTGGTTTTAACTTTTTGTGTGTATCTAAAGATGGCGTCGTATCCTCTGAATCTAGTCATCTTTGTGAATCCTTGCATCCACTCCTCATTAGGGCAATGGCCAATGCATAGTCCCAGGGTGATGCCTCACATGTCATGTATGATCGGATAACAGAAAAAGTAGGTTTGGATGGGGAAGCGGAATCCTCTTCAGGAGGCGGGTTCTTAGAGAGAAAAATTGTGATCCGGTGCATAAAGTTGGAAAAGTTGAAGTGGAAAAGAGGGATGCATATGTAGTGAAAGTCACTTTCTATTCTTTGATAAGGCCCACTAGTAGTAGCTTGCATTGAAGAGAAAAAATAAACACATATACCTCAAATTACTTTTTATCATGAGACATCTGTATCCATATGCCACCATTGTACATGCTCTTAGCCGTTAGATTCAAATCTTGTGCGTGAGTATTCTTTTTGCAGAATGACGCCCGTCTCCAGCCCAAGCCCCGTGTGAATTTTTCAAAAGGGTCCCCAGGCGATTACTCCCAAATCCTTTCTCTCCCAATCCCTAGGTCACGTTGCAACCTACTTCCTCTGTTCTAAATTACTCTCGCAAAAATAGATGTATCTAAAATTAAAATACATCTGGATACATCTATACCTGCAACAAGTAATTCGGATTGGAGGGAGTACACCCAACCGACGGCCACGGGCTGCAACTACCAACGACCGCTGCGACAGACACGCTGAAAAGCATCTTCTAGTTCTCATCAGCACGGAGGTCATCGCCATGACGGACAGGGCGGAAAGTGCTGGAATTTAGTCCATTTTTGGGCTAGCGCAATAATATTTTCAGAATTCCTAATAAATTCTAGAGGCCTACTTAGCACATTCATGCAAGGTCAGAGGTGGGACTAAAGTTTAGTCCCATACTACTCGAGTCAGACCTCTTATAAGCGACGTTGTTTCTCCACATGTATAAGGATGAGAACAAGAGAGATATTCACACGCGCTCCTCCTCCGTTGCCCGCCTCGCCTCGCCTCGTCACGACGTCGGCTGATGCTGCATGTTCCTTTTGTCTCCCTCTTTTGCTTCACCCCACGCCGTTGTCTGTTCGCCTCCTTCTCCTGTGCCTATAAAATAGAGGTCGCTCCTCTTCAGAGAGACACAACAGAACAACACCTTCCTACGCCGCCGAGTTCCAGAGCACTGAGCTACTGCTACAACCTTCCCCATCCCGGCTTACGGCGTGCACCGCGGGTCGGGACAGTAGGCCTCCGAAACCTCATCTCTTTGAGTCTTGTACGGGAGTAGGATGATAATGTTTTCGGGAACGCTCTGCGCGACTACTGACCTGTTCATCACGGACACCCCGGACGCCGACGACTACTTCCCCAACGACGACTTCTTCCCCGAGGTCGATGACCTCTTCCACGGCATAAGTGACAACGTCAACGCCAGGCCGAAATCACTGTTCTGACCTTGTCAGCGTTTATTGTCACAAACTGAACCCGACGTGAAAGTATTTCGCGATTTGACCCTTTTAGAAACGCCAGGGCCCGTGGCGTTTCCAGTCAACACTGAAACACCGAGCAAGCTAGCGTTTCTGCCCTGGCCCACTGCCAGGCCGAAGACGTGTTGTTTGTTGACGTGGCAGTCTGGAAACGCCGACCCAGCTAGCGTTTCTGGAAACGCCACAGTCAGTGGCGTTTCTGGTGCAGATATTTTAGGTGGCCTTGTGGTTTTCACCCACCACTCACCACTCACTCTCTTCTCCCCCATTGGCCTATCCCGAGCTCTTGCCCTTTTCCCCCTTTGTGTCCCTTACTTAGCCCCTCACAAATTCTTGCAAATTGGTTGGGTAGGTCCGTGGATCCGGGGTCATTTCCGTTCGTTGAGGTAACCTCCTTCATCTCACAAATTTGTATTGGTTGGATTTGTCCATTTGGATTGATTTGTTCTTGTTGTTCCTAACCCTAGTTTTGAGCATGGATCTATTATGTGATGTTTTGAGTATTGTTGTTCCAATAGTGTTGCATTTTGATGTTGTTGAGCATACCTTATTGTGGGTTATGGCTAATGTTAAGATTTAGGGTTAGGGTTATGGCTAATGTTAAGATTTAGGGTTAGGGTTAGGTGTTTTGTTAGCAATGTGGTATATTTAGCATTGTACATTTCTTATACTTATGTTACCATTTTTTTAGATGGACAAGATTGTGAATATTCATTATGTTGACAAAGAGGCATTCATGAATGTGGATATTGTTGACAAGTATGAGGAAGTGTTGATATTTCTTGAGACTCCTAGTTATGAAGAGGTTGTGGAAGAAACACGGATAAAATTAAAGTGGGTGGATGCAAGTGATCAAGTTGAATTAGTAGGAAGATATGATGTTGGGTCGGCACACAAGTGTCGAATGAAGACAATGTCTATCAAGTCCAATTTGCATTGGGCTGCATATAAGGAGGTTGTTGCATCCTCGGCAGTCAAGTCACTCGAAGTCTTTGCAAGTAAGGTGGTCAAGGCTCCTCTCTTTCATGTTGACTTGAACCAAACCTTAGTAGATGATGTGAGCCCGGTTAGTAGTGTGCCGCCTATTGTTGAGTATAAAGTTGAAGCGGAAGCCAATGAGTATCCCCAATATGAGTTCGAAGGTAGTGCACCGATGAAAGATGATGGCGATGACTCCGACGAAGAGTATGAGATGCACCACAACATTGTTGGTGATGTAGAGGTTGAAGTAAGGCATCCGGACATGGATCCTAACATTATCTATCAGCGTGCTTGTGTGGATGACTCGGATGATGAAGGCCCGGTGAATGAGTTGGACGAGGATGGCTTGACTGCGAAAGAAGCAGAGTGGTACACAAAAATCACCGGTAGGATCACAAAGTTCCCTTGTTTTGTGATATTAGCCTGGCAGATAAGGCTATAGTCGACGGTGGCATGAGCAAGACAATTGAGGCTAGATAGTTCCCAAGTAGTACACCCGACGCGATTTCGATGTCATACATGAGGAAAGGTTTGATGTTCGAGCACATGCTAGAATTCAGGATGTGGTTGTGTGAGTATGCTGTCAAACACCACAGGCCTTTCATAGTTGTTCACTCGGAATGCAACAAGTGATACACCGTGAAATGTGAGGTAGAAAGATGCAAATGGAAAGTCAATGGAAGACTCACGAAAGATGGTTGGTGGAAGATAACTAGTTGTAAAGCCACTCACCAATGCACACCGTCGGACGTAGAAGCACGGAAGACACACCGTCAACTAACCTCGGAATTCATTGGTTATAAATACCAGAAACATATAGTCGAGGATCCAACCATTAAAGTGAAGTTGTTGATGAGTTGGATTGAAGATAAGTTCGGATATAAGGTCAAGTACGGAAAGACATGGAAGGCCAAGCAAGTCACTCTCAGAAAAAGCGTCAAA